TAAATACAGCAACTACGAGCAGGTGAAGCAGGTCAACTCTAGATGATTTATTTAGGTTTTTCCTCAGTTTAGTTACATGGACCCACTTTTCTTTTCTCTCTCCTTTTGGATATTTGAAATTTTCTGTAATAAAACTTTTTTTAATGTCTGAGGGAATAGCTGGTCTCTTTAGATGCTCTCAATAATATATGTTCAGTTATGATGTTTCCAACAGGCTAATTTTGGTAGGGTGGGTTCTCTCCTTTTTTTTTTTTAAGCAGGGATTAAGTTGCAGGAACATTTGATTCACATGTGGAAGTCAAAATTTTAGTGAGTAAAATTGTGCTCACCAGGTACTGTGTTTTTTGTATGGTTGATATTATAGTCAAAGTCTCCATATTTTTTATTTTATTGAGCATAATAAGGTCAAGAGTTTTGTTTTACCAAATGGGTTCTCTCCTTAATGAACACACTCCCAGTCTTATTCCTACATTCTAAGTCACTGGTGTCTTGCAGTAAAACAGGTATTTATTTATTTTAAAAATCTCTTATTTTTTGGCAAGAGTTAATACATTTAATTATGAGATTGTCTTATGATATCTTACTAAAGTATAACCGTTTTCCTACACTTTTTGATGTTACGGGAGATTTGTCTTGACAGGCTTAGAGTTCTTACCAGCAAAGTTCAAAAGGCATAGTTTTTCGGAGTTATGTACCTAAATTCCATCTTTCAAGAGCACTTTAATTCAAAGAGTATTAGAGACCAGTGTTGACCTTTGTGATTTGAAAAGGTCAAAACTTTCCTTTTAAAATTTTTTGAGAAAATTGTCTTAAGGACACAGTTTATTACTTAATGAACCTGATATTAAAATTTATATAAATTTTATCCTGAAAAATGTACATACCTACACTACTTATAAATTTCAGTATTTACTTATTTACATAAGTAAATACTTATTAAATATAAATTAAAATATTTAATACAACAGATGCACCAACACATTTAGTTATTTCAGAATTTTATGTTCTTGAGAATGGCTTATAAAATTTTTAAAAATTTTGCTTACTTGTACAGCTTATATATTAAATAGTTGCTTATTAATGATTCTAGTATTAAATTATCATTTGCTTGTTTTGCTGTTTTGAGAGCTCAAATTAATGGGCTTATCATTATTGCAACTTTTAAAGTGAATTTATAAAATCTACAGATATGAACACTGTATTTCAATATCTTTAATAGTCTATTTGCCTTCCTTTTTTTACAATTTTTTTTAGTTGTAAATACTTTTATTTGTTTATTTTTTTGTGGTGCTGGGGATCCAACCAGCAGTGCCTCACACATGCTAGGCAAGCGCTCTACCACTGAGCCACAACCCCACCTCTAGGCTACTGGCTTTCTTTGGTTCATCTAGGACTGAAAACTCCACATCATCTACTAAAAGATGAGAAACATGAGATTTAAGTGAATGTTTCCATCTCAAGTTCTCCCATATTGTATCATTTTTCTTCTTTATATAGTATGTTGGACCTTTAAATATTTTAATTTTTAGTACTGAATTGTTATATAATATATACTTGACATTTTAGTGTGTTACGTTAAATGACCCTCATATTTTCTAAAAGTCTATATCACCTTCTATTTTCTTAGGTTATTTTCTTGATATTGATTGGTTTGATTCAGTCTCAATTTCACTGTTTTTGTTAGAAGTGGTAGAAAGTGACTTTTTGTCTCCTTCACGTTGCCTCTTTTAAAGGAGATAGGCCATAGTTGCTTCTCTAGGGAATTTTCTCGAGGCAGAACTTTAGAAACAAGGATGGTATGTCCTCTGCTTGCATTTTGGTCACTTAGACTTAAGGTCATTTGGCTGACAGTTCTGACTTCTTAGGAAAGCTTTTCCTTCCCAGGAAATCACGGAAATAGGTTTCAATTGATGTCTAGTTCATCGTTCCTTTTGAAGTATCCTTCTGGTTGGTGAACAGTGGAAGAGTACTGAGTTAGGTTTACTAACCTATGATGTCTTTGGAAGAAAGCCATAAGTAATCCAGATTTTGCCTTGTGTTTCTTAAAGTGCCTGAATCATTGACAGACATCGTACTGATATTTGAGCCATGGGTGGATAGTTGAGGCAGATACCTTGGGCTTTGTCAACACACATGCCCTGAACTCCACATGATCACTTTGATGATCATTTTAAGATAAACTGAATTTTAAGTGCCTAAGGCCTGGGCTGATAAAATTTAAGCTGATAAAATTTATCTTTTAGTATATTACTACCAAAAGTGAAAGAAAATGATGAGGACTTTGTATTCCAGCAGGCCCCTCCACAGGTGGCACAGCCCACCTCATCCCTGGGGACTCTTACTGAAGCTCTGCAGCTTGACCCACCTGGGTTAGATCTTGGAGATTCCCAGAAGACCTCCAAGGGGCATTCACAGTCCTGGGCAGTGTCCAGTGGCCTTTGCTGAGAAAAAATAAAAACCTTTTTTACTGTACTTAAAAAAAAATTCAGAATGAAAGTAGCTTTGGTGTAGATGGGGGGATGTCTAGGTTAAAAATTCTAAACACTTAAATTATTTCTTAAACATACAAATGTAAATGAAAAAAAAGTCAGTAGAAAGTTAATATGTGAGTGCATCTACAGAAATGCAATTTTGAGGCAGCTTTCTAATCTTTTTCCTAAATGAGCCTACAAAGTTAGAGAAATCCACTCATGTCTGATCTAGAAAGAATAAAAATACTAAGAGTGGCAGAAGTAAGTGTTATAATAGATATAAATATGATATTAGGCAGGTTAGACACAAGGTTCTCAAAAGAAATCATACCTCAGTGGCTCTTGCAAGATGAGTGGAGGTTCATGAGGAAAGAGAGTAGCCTTGCAGGCCCAGAAGACTGTATATGCCATACAGAGCACGCAGAAATGGAAAGTAACAACATGGTGGAGGGCATAAGAAAGTAGGTGGAGAGTGAACTTGGGAGTCAACTGTGACAGAACGAAGTTTGACTTTTTGAAAAGACAGCAGAAATTTTGAGAATGCTATATAATGAGCAAAACCACAGAGATTAATAGTCAATATAAAATAATAATTTTTAAAACACAGAGAAGCATATACACAATGGAATATTACTCAGCCATAAAGAAGAATGAAATTATGGCATTTGCCAGTAAATGGATGGAACTGGAGACTATAATGCTAAGTGAAATAAACTAATCCCCAAAAACCAAAGGCCACTGTTCTCTCTGATATGCAGATGCTGACTCACAATAGGTGGGGGTGGGGGAGTGGGGGTGGAGGTCCACTGGGTAATGGGGGCAAGGGAGGGAGGATGGGAATGGGAAAGACAGTAGAATAAATCAGACATGACTTTCCTATGTTCATATATGAATAAATACATGACCAGTGTAATTCCACATCCTGTACAACCACAAGAATAGGAAGTTATACTCCATATATGTATGTATGTCAAAATACATTCTACTGCCATGTATAATCAAAAAAAAAAAAAAAAAACAGAGAAGACAAACATGCCCTTGCTGAAATTAAATCATTTTTAGGAAAGTGAGCAGTGACCATTCCTGTTCAGCTTACCAGCAAATGCTTCAGAGGCTGTTTAACTCTGCCACCCACATCAGAAATAAATTAGCATAATAAACAACCTGATTGGTGTTGTGGCTGTGTTGAACTGGTACTGTTTGTCATGACTCTTAGTACAAAGCACTAAAATCCATTATGGCCTTCATCACTGATGCCCCTTAAACCTCCACTAGTCACCACTGATTTGGGTTGGGCAAAGGTAGCTTTGCAGAGATGAGTTTATGGAGATGGCAAAAGAATATATGCATCTTTATAAAACAAGTATAAAACATTATATATATGGTTATATATTTCTCTTAAAAATTTGGAAGTGGTAGGAGACACTTCAGTAGGGGATCAGGCAAGAAATAGATAAGTAGAAGAATCGAAAGCCTAAGACTTGTATTATTCTTTTTTGCTGGGTGGGGGAAGATACTGGGGTTTGAACTCAGGGACACTCAACCACTGAGCCACATCCCCAACCCTATTTTGTATTTTGTATTGTATTTAGAGATAGGGTCTCACTGAGATGCTGAGGGCCTCACTGTTGCTGAGGCTGGCTATGAACCCATAGTTCCCCTGTCTCAGTGTCCTGAGCTGCTGGGATTACAGATGTGCACCACTGTGCCTGGCTGTATTATTCTTATTATGTTATTTTCTCATTATTTCCTGATTTTTCTTTTTACTATCTAGTAAAAAGAAAGGAGGCAGAAAACCAGGATTCTAGGCCCACCTTTATCACTTTCTACACCTCTGCCTCATCTCAGACAAGTCCCTTGACTTCAATTTCCTGATCTCTCAAATGAAAGGATTTTCAAATGGGCTCCACAGGATATAACAGAGCCGCTTCAAGGGCCACTCTGGAAGATGAAGGAGGCCTCCTGCCAATGCTGCCCTTCAAACAGAGCAGCTTTGCTTTTATTTGTATTGTAAGTTGGAGCTGTTACAAGATTTAAAAAAAAAAAAAAAGGGATTCTTTACTTTTCACAAGTTTGAAAATCACTGAACTAGTATTTCACAAGGGCCCGTCCGGCCTAGAAACCATTTTGACATCTGTACAGTGGGAATAACAATAGTTCCTTTGCTTAAGTTGTTGAGGTGTGAACAAGATATTCCACGTAGAGCAGAGCATATAGAACATAGGAATCACCGCAATGTGTTAGCCATTATTCCCCACCTCCCTGCCAACAGATCCCACAAAGATAAATGCTTTTGCTATGACTCTTATGCATTGGGTAAGAAATGGTGGCCTGAGAATTGCCTAATCCATCTGCTTTGTACTACCAACATTATAAAAATGTCTTGGACATTTTCTTTGTAAAATTTTAATACATTTTATTTTTGTACATTGCATTTTTTTCTCCCACAACTGAAAGTTTTCTTCTTCTAGATCAGATTTGAAAAATAGTTACATTGCATTTATCAGAGTCAATGTGTTGGTGTTCCAGGCTTGCCAGCTCCTGGGAAAGTGACATCAGTGTCCACTCATTGACCTTGCCTGCTGCAACCTGTTTGGAGCTGCTGTTGATACTATCAAGGAGTAATGCCATCCTGCCACCATCCCTTCGCCAAATGAATTCATTTCAGGTAAGGGATACTCTTTACTAGAGTGTGATTTCTCATTTTAACTTGTAATTGTTTTTTCAAGGATCCTTCACAGGAGATAGCCCAAGAAAATTCATATTTTCAAATAGTAGTAATAATAACATAATGCATGTGTTGCCGTGCCTCATTTTAAGTAATGAACAAATGGAGACTCAGAACTGATTAGGGAGTTGCCTAGCAGTGGCAGAACCCAAGGCTTGTTCTCTGAACCTCCATTTTTATTGCCTCTTATAGAAAAAAACAAGAAGATGTGGCAACAACACTTGCAGATGCCACTTCCCTCCTCTAAGCTTTGCCCTAGAGCAAGGATATTCAACCCCGTTACTATTGGCTTTCCTGATGTCAGCTGCCTGAAATCAAAATCTTTAACCTGGATAGTATCTTCCCTACTCCCATTTCCCTCTCTCTCCTCTTTTAGCACTTCCCACTCCCCTGGATATTTAATTGTGCTCCTGGTACAATGCAGTGCTGCATGTAGATTTACCAGTACGATGATCAGCAGGAAGACTCTCTTCTTAATAGCCATCTAATTGTCTGAGAAGGCAAATGAGAATTAAGATGTTAAGCCAGCACAGTGGCACATGCCTGTGATCCAAGCATCTTGGGAGGCTGAAACAGTAGGATCTCAAGTTTGAGGCCAGCCTCAGCAACTTAGCAAGGCCCTCAGCAATTTACTGCAACCCTTTCTGAAAATGGTGATGTGGCTCAGTGGTTAAGCATTCCTGGGTTCAATCTCCAGTACCAAAAAAATAAAATAAAATTAAGATGTTAACTAGTGGCCTAACTTGTGGCCCTGTAGATACTGAGTATAATTGAACACATCTGTGACTCATGACAATGGAAAAGTAATCACAGGTCTTCAGATGCTTATAGGAAGGCCACATGCATTTCTGAGAAAGAATAAATATGGTTCTGCTTCTGGAGAGTTGCTGACATATACTAAGGTAACTTAAAGAGCAGTAAATATTATTTGGTGTATCTCTGGTATGTGGTCAAATGAGACATCTAAGATTTTCCTAGGAATTACATCTCAGGAAATTGATTTAAAAAATAGCTGCTTCAATTTAATTTATGCCCATAATCTCTTAGAAATCTGTTGCATTGGTTGTTTCTATGATTTTCTGCCTGTTTCTTAGCTTGGGCCCTGACAAAAAGTTCAGTCTTTGGCCTTAGCATGCCTATTTGTATTTGGTGTTACTCGATCAACTTCAATCCTGGACTCTTCATCAAAAGGAGCTGAAGGGACACCTTCTTGTTGTGGGGGAGAGGAAAATGAGATCCAAAGGATGGAGTGAGTTGACCTCAGAATACCTGGTGGATTAGAGACTGCACTGAACTCACCAGGCCTGTGCTAGGGTTGCTCCACCTGCCATGCAACTACAGTGCTTACTAAAGTCTTGGGAGCTGGGGGCACGGGGTGTGAGTGGTGGATGGAGGCAGGATATATCTACTGGGTACATCCACATATGTACCCTTATTTTATAGTAATTTATAATTCTTTATTTGTATACTTCCTTGAATTAGAAATGATTTAAAATTATGTGATATCAATCCACATTTCTTCTAAGTTTTACTCCATGGATTAAATAGTGCATAACACAAAAGTTTATGTAAGGCCACAAAGTTTAATGGAGGGAATTACAAGAAACTTAACAGTAGTTATTTTGGGGGAGTGAAGCTGGAAGACTATTATTTTTTATTTCCCTGTCTCTCTTATGTACTGTTAGAAAACTTTATACCAGGGGTAAGCGAGCAGCCAGAGAGATGATTCTGACTTCGAGGAGTTTATGGCATATTGAGGGAGATAAGGTAGTCGTCCGTGTGTGATAGAAATTGAGAGTACTTTTATTACAAAGTAACCTCAACACAAGTGTTAAAGATACTAAAAGCAAAAGAGTAATCTAAACCAAGTTTGAGGGATTTGAGAAGAGGGCTAACCTGTATTTCTTCTCCATGAGACAGAAAATGTCTTGTCCTCTGTAAGTGCCCTCCCAGTCTCATGTAAACACAGGTGCATGAAAGCCCCTGTAATTGGTGGCATCAGTATGCTCTCAGCATCTTTAATCAGAGGAGCTCCTAAGCAGTTTGGATGTTAACTGCTCATTGTCCTCTCTTGGTGATTGTACTGCATCTGAGTTTAGGCTGTTTGCTGAATGTTATTGTCAGGAGCACATACACTGGATTGAGAAATATAGAGAAAATTGGCAGAATCTTATGAGGAATGTCTGCTAAAGTTTCATCTCTGCTCTTACCCCTGGAAAGATGTATTTTTATCAGGGACACTCCAGGAGTCAGCTTCCCTATGCAGGTCTTCACTCTAGACAAAGGATCAGTTAAAATGAGGAAGGTGTCTTTAGGGATTTGGAAGAGATGCTCTGCCTTTCCATCTTTGTGACACCTACTTAATCATTTATTATAATTGCAAGAAGTAGGGACACTATTTGCCTATATTTGAGATTTATTTTTTTAATTGGAAACTCACTTTCATGTACATTTTTTTTAAAGAGCTATTTTGGCAAGAGCTGTAAAGTAGTAGAATGACACTTGTTACAGATACTATCTTTACATTTCCAATTCTCTTACTTTTCAGGCTGAGGTAGTCACTGTAAAGCTGTTATTTTAGGATTTGGATGCCACTCCTGCTGGAGTTGTTATTACTGCCAAATCCCAAGGGGAAGGGTTTATCTTATTAATGAGAGCTATTAACATATATGAAATTTTGCCTTCTTGAATTACTTTATAACATTTCTCAGGCCAACAGGGATAGCTTTTGGTGGTAGTATTATAATTTTAGCTTCTACTCGGTTACAGCACTGTAGTATCCATAGTGTGACTATCAGCAAACAGAATGCAGGATTTGGTTCAGAATCCCTGACATATTGCTAAGTGCATATGTACTGTAGTTGTTGCAGCTTCAAGAAGAGGGATGGACTTATCATTCCTCATGTCATACTTATTCTTCCATGGCTTCCTATTGCAATGAGAATAAAATACAAACTCTTTATCTTGGCCTGTGAGGATGGGCACCATCTGGCCCTGCCTCCCTCTCTAGCCTCTTCTCTTACTTTCTCTTCTTGTCCTTTACTCTGATCTAGTCACACTCACTAGCCTTTTTCCCCCTTCCCTATCACAGGCTGGTTCTGGCTGTAGCATCTGTGTACTGGCTGTTGGCTCTGCTTTGAGGAGACTATTCTGTATGAGGTCTTCACATGGCTGGCTTCATATTGTCCTGCAGGTCTCAGCTCAGGTGTCTCCACTCCCAAGAGGCGTAACCTGTCTCCTTCACTGAATCCCTTTCTCCCAGTCACCATTACTTTATAACTTTCACCTTTTTTTTTTTTTTTTTGGCTTAGTACTTTTATAATTTGAAATGATTGGATTCATTTATTTGTCTTTTTCCATGACTAAAGTGTGTCTATATGAGAACAGGGAGTGTCTATTTTTGTTCAATATTGCACCTACAGAACTCAGAGCAGTGCCTGTATGTAGAGAGCAGTTGAAAAATGCTGGATGACTAGATGACTGGATAGATGCAAATTGGCATGGCCATGGGGCACCCTAGGAATCTAAAAGACTGAGCTGGAGGGAAGCAGAGGCATGAGTAGCATAAATTCAAGGACAGAAGCTTCATCCCTATTTCTACTGGAACAAGGCTAGACTCAAGGTAAGGTCTAAATTTGAGATATTTCAATAAGTTTGAGCAAAGGTGGGTATAGGCATTGAAATTGCAGCCTGGGGCTTTGTACAAATGAGAAAGACTTGATGAAAAGTTTAGCCCTTAGAAAGATCTGGCAAGTCAGACCAGCGAAGTGCCTGGCATGTAGCACAGGACTCCTTGGGCATTGCAGATCACAGCAGCAGAAATGGGTCAAGCTTTGATGCCAGAAACCAAGGCAGAGGGGTATCAGAGGGCTTCCATGGAGTGGGCAGAAGGCTTCTTTGGAGTAGGCAGCTTGCAGGCTGGCATGACCATTACTGTTACTAGTTTATTCCCCTCTGCATGCTTCAGAATTCTAGGGTGAGGAAGTACAAGGTCATTTCCATATCCATGTTGATGGGCAACTCTGGTTCCTAACCTGAAGTCCTTTGAGGACAGCTTTGAATCTGATAGGGCCTCTGACTAGAAGGTAGTACTTGAAGAGAAATCATGTTGGAACCAGGACTGGGCAACAGCTGCTGGTTATCATGGTAACTGCATTTTCCCTAGAATTCTACTCTATTAGGGCTAGAAGGACTAGCTACTCTACTGACAGGGAAACATACAGAGGAAAGTTAAATAGACATTAGAGACTAAAACTGACTTGTCAGTAGTGCTTTTTATGATACAGAGGGTGCTAACTTCTTTTGGGGGGTTGAAATAAGATCTTCTTTCTGTACTAGCACTTCTCTATTCCATGGGACACATGTTCCTTAGGATGCTATTAGTTGTTATAAAAATAGATATTAATCATCAGACTAATGAAATTAGAATAGCTAAAATTTATGGAGTCTTTTCTGTATTCTAGGTACTTTTCTCTATGATTTTCACCTATTAGCTCATTTCATTTTCAAGACATCTTCATAAAGAAGATATATTATTATTCTCATTTCACATGTATAAAACTGAGCCAGAGGATAAACTTGCCCAAGCTCACACAGAGCTAGTAAGTGGAGGGACACGAGGTACAAAGCCTGGTTCTAGAATTTCCCATTCTTAACCACTGGATAATTCTGCTTCTTTTAATAAGTTTGGTTAAATGAAGTTATAATTTTTAAAATATAAGATTTTTTTTAGGGTATTTCATGTGCTTAAAGGCAGTGTGACACTATTGCTGGAGGGATATGGGAAATATTATTTCCCAAATGTACTTGGCATCAGAGATAATTGTTCTAGGGGAATTGTATGGAACTGATGTTTTGTTCAGATGGGGAGACAGTGTTCTGACCCACCTCTATAAAGATTTGGGTGACCAACACAGAGTACTCTTCTGTACATTCTTGGA